CTTAAAGGATATTCTTCCAATTTTGCTGCCAATCGTAAAAAATTCAAGATGAAGCTCCGTTCCAAAAAGGATCCTCAACAATCAATTACGATACTTTCTAAACACTGGGGCAAGTCTCGTGGTGAATATTCATTTCTTTCTAAAATCAAGTCAGTAGAACCTCTTCCAAATAAGCTTGAATATGATAGCCGCCTTGTTATGAATCAACTTGGTGAATATTATCTTTGTATACCCAGACCACTTAAGTGATTTCTCTTGTGTACATTTATGATCCAAGTGGAGTAGCTGTTGAATGGGGTAAAATGACATTGTAATTGGCCGAATTTATCGATTAAGTCATGCATGTGACAAGCTTCAAAGTAAACGCGATTGTATTCATGGGAAAGAAAACGTTACAGGTAAAATTCATTAATTATTTAATTATTTAATTATTTAATATTTATTTATAATTTAACATATATATTGTAGATTACATCACATTCTTTGTGAAAACTATTACTACCCGAATTTTGCTGGTCCGACGTGGAAAACGACGCATTGGTTCCATTTCTAGCCATGTGTACATGGTCACATTATCGCTTTCAACAAAACAGCATTTGATCCATAAGGCACGTGAGCATCCCTAGTGTCGAGTACTAATTTAATTTGTACAGAAGAATACACAAGTAAAACTTGTAAAAAGCTAGGTGGATCTAAGGTTCTTCTTCGATATAAAAAAGGAGTCAGCTTAGGCTGACGCGGGAGCCTATTCCCTGACAGGACTTGTTATTCCCAAGTTAGACTTTGCTTAATATTAATGTGGAGTTTTATTAGTAATAATAGGGCTTAATGTAGGCGTTGTGTTAAGTTCCAGTTAATATTAATATGGCATGGTGATCTACATCGGATAAGATCTGCATCGTCCAATTGACAGGGTTGGCATTTTTTTTTTGTCCCTTTCTTACATTCGATACACACAATGAATCAAAGGGCATTCTCCTTATTCTCTTCCATAAGAAATAGAACCTATCAGATAGGTCCCATACTACGAAATTCTAAAGTGAGTTAACCGCAAAATATAGCAATGAAAGAAAATGATGGTCTATGATCCGTAGAATTTAATCTACTATGCATTCTACGATACTTTGAATTGGCTACCGCTGTTGCTGCTTCATATTATATAAGGTGTCATTGGTCACCTCTAATGCGAACGCAGAACTTGCCAAGGTATTTCCTGGAGTGCCAGAGGTATTTTTTTTCCCTCCTTTGCTTTCCTAGCTGTCCTGCCCTGTAATCAAACAATGTCTATTAATGCTGAGCGACTTGTTTCCATAGGTTGATGTTATTCATCGCAGAATATTAGGAAGCCGAATGTTTATCTTGAACAAACCAGACAAATTAAATGCACTGAATTTGAGTATGGTTAGAAATATGACCCCTCAGTTACAGGTCAGTCGTAATGAATCTATTTGATTGCCATGTTAGTACATTGAACGGCTCTAATTTCGATGTAATTAGGCATGGAATGAGTCTGATCTATGTAAAGTTATAATCATTAAAGGCGCTGGTAACAAAGCCTTCTGTGCTGGTGGAGACGTAATCGGTAAGTGAGGGGGGGAAAAAGCGAAATCTACAAATTTATTACGTACAGGAAACTAATTGTTTGCGAAATGTATCCATATAAGATGTTGTGAAATTAGCAGAACAAGAAAAGACAGAGACAACGCAAGAAGGGAAGGCTCTGCGGTTTTTTGAAGAAGAATATCAGCTCAATCATTTAATTGCAACGCTTGACAAACCATATGTAGCGTTACTGAATGGCATCACAAGTACTGTTTACAGTTTGCCTCCTAATTTCGACTTTAGTTGGTTAACGATCCTTACCTGATCATTGTGGATTCTATAGTGGGCGGTGGTTTTGGTCTTTCGGTTCATGGATCGTTTAGAGTGGCAACCGAAAACACAGTTTTTGCCATGCCCGAGACAGCCATTGGACTATTTCCTGACGTTGGGGGATCATTCTTCCTACCTAGAATGGAAGGAGAAGTCGGCACATATCTTGCTTTAACCGGAAAAAGACTATGCGGGCTTGATGTGTTGTAAGTGACTAACCAGAATCAATTTCAGAAGATATATTTTAACTAAAGCTTTACATAGTTTTTCGGGTATCGCGACACACTTTGTTCCGTCCGAACGGTTACCTCATTTAGAAGATCGTTTAAGCGAACTAGAGAGTGATGACCACGAGGTAATTAACGCTGCTATTGAAGATTTTGTTGAAAAACCAGAGCCGAATTATCGATATGCTCTTGGTGGACAGATTCGCGAATCTATTGACAGGTAGACATTGAAGGGAGCAGTGATTTACTCGTAGCTGAATAGAGGAGATTTTATTTACTTAAACAATCGTTTCGAATTCATGTCAGATGTTTCAAATATGACTCTGTCGACGATATCATAGCGGCATTGGATAAAGAAAACAGCGATTGGGCTTTAAAAACCAAGAATGTTCTTTCTCAAATGTCTCCAACCAGTTTAAAGGTATTTTTTTAATAGGACATTATAATTGAGGAGTACTTTTTCGCATATGAAATTGGTAAAGTTGATGGTTATATATATTGAAGGTAACTCTACAAGAACTGCGACTTGGTAAAAGAATGACAATTACCGATTGCTTGCAGATGGAATACGGCCTCGTAAACAAATTCTTGGTAAGATTAATTTATGCCCTATCCTGCGTACTTGGTTTCGACTGCTAATCCTAAAGTTGTCAATTTCCAGGAGAAATCAGATTTTAAGGAAGGTGTCAGAGCGCGCCTAATTGGCAAGACTGATGATCCTCAATGGAATCCCCCCAGTCTCTCAGAAGTTTCAGATGACAGTATCAAAAATTTCTATTTCAAGTCAACAAAGGCTAAAATACTTAACTTCTTAAATTTAAAATCATTCGAGAATTATTCGTATACTCGCTTCGGTCTCCCAACTGAAGAAGATATTCGCAAATTGGTCACCGGTGAACTACCTGATGCTGGAGCAATGGGAATGACTGAAGAGGAAGTTATTGACTTCTTTTTAAAGGAAAATAGGGGTAAAATAGGTACAAGAGAAAAAGTTTCCGAAGTTTTAAGAAGGAAGACAGTCGAGATCGGAAACAGAGCCCTTAAATGGGTCTATTAAAAGTGATAGCATGATTATTAGACGAATAATGGGAGGAGGCAATTGATAGACCTAATGAGGAGACTAATGAAAATTTATAAAACCCAACCCAATAAAAGTAATCACATTAATAATAATTTTGGTGCGAGTGAATTTGACATTTTTGACGCACAGAGATGATGGCCAATCGCAAACTACTTATAAGGTTACAACTACTCAACTCCCTTATCACTGAAGATGCAGACTTTCTTGCGAATCTCTACTACATCGACAAGATTATCTCTTTACCCGATCCGCTTTTTCACCACTCCTAGTAGATTCGAGCGGCCGGGACCGCTACCGCTTGGTGATCCAGAAGAACAGAAAGAATTTGAAGAACTTGTTAAGAAACAAAGCTCTGCTGAGTTGGCAGTGACAATAGAGGATGAAGAGCAGTTGACCCATCCTGATGTGCGAAGGGAACCACCACCTGAGTTCGAGGGAGACAAGAATCCTGTTACAGGAGAAATCGGAGGACCCAAAAGAGACCCCTTAGTACATGGAGACTGGAGCTATGGAAGTAGAGTCACCGATTTTTAGTATTCAAGTATTGGCGACCTTGTTGGCGACCTTTTTGGCAACCAGTTATGTAAAACGAGGTATATTGCAGAGTAACCAATTGCTTCAACTTTTCGGCTATATAACTAATGCCTTCTGCTTGTTTAACAGAATCTGTTATAATCATTATGTAACTTTGCAATAAAAAGCGGAATCAATTACCGGGTGTCAAGCCAAACTCGGTTCAAAAGCTACATATTAGCGTTAATGTCATAAATAAAGTGGAAAGCTTGCATTAAAGGCTTTGACACTATACGATCAGACTGAAATAGTGCGCACATTCTTGGTTGAGGTTTCGGGGTCTTTATTACACACTCTTGGTTGAGGCTCTGCCCAATACTAACTAACATGCCTAAATAAGTAAAAACTACGTTAACATTTCCGACTGAATAACAAGATCGTTCCCTTATGATATTACCGATTGTTTCCGAGAACGCGTTATTATCCTCCACTAATATTTCTTTCCGTCGGTTAATGCAGTCTGTCCCTACATGCATGCTCCCCACATAGAATGCTATTCCAATCTAACTAACCATAGAAAACAGTCCAGTTCATTTATTTAACAAGCATAAAGCTGGAGATTTTATTAGTCGATATTTTTGATTGATGATGTCAACTTGTAATTTTATCAGCCCCCCGCATCAAACGCTACTTTCTAAGGTTAAGCGTATTAGTATACACGTGTTTCGTTGCATCGTTGACCGAATATGCTAATCATCGTGTAACAATTGCGATATCCATAGATTTCAATGTTTCAAAGTAGGAAAATAGGTCGCCGTTAAAAATCAATACAACTCAGTCGGGTATTATTGCAGTGACTATCTGAAGAAGCCTGATTTGGCAGCAATTATTATTTGAAAAGGCGTCTTGTCACAAGAAAGAATAACAGATTATTCTGGTAAGCAGACATAATGGCAATAATTTGTTGCATTACTATTACTAATACTAATATACGTAACCCCCTTTTCTATGATAACAATCATTGTTTTCCTCCAGACAACGGAAATGACGCCTTCTTTAAATATTTCCCGCTGTTAGCATATAATACTAATTGGACTATATAATTTTATTACTAAAAACGAAGGAAACAAGTTTGTTTTCGTGCAATGCTTTGAAGTCGCCTTTTTTTTTTATAAATGGGATTTTCTACATGGAAACCGTTTGTGTAACTCGCATTCCAAAAATATGCTTCATATTATTGATATCGTTAATATCATAAATACAACGTAAAAGCCATGTACGTCAACTTGATACAAGTCATTTACTGAACGCTTGGCAAACTAAATATATGTTGTTATACTATATCAAATACTGCAATAGCATCATGGTAATAGAAATATTACCATAACGGTAATTACGGTAAATAGTTGAAAAGCGCTGGCCGTGTAATCAATTCTTGACAACATGCTTAGATAATGACACTCACATAAAAGAAACCATTCGTATCGGCGACGGGTATCCTAAAGACTTGGAATTTTATTGGTGGCAGCGATCTTCTTACGTAAGCTTAAACAACTTGAATGCTAAAAGATGTCGCGATGCAGTACAAATTAGCACAATACCTTAAATCTCAGAAACCTAATAAACACACTTTATTGCTTAATAAATATTGTTAGATGTTGTCCATATTATGTTGAGAAACAATTTGAAACGGACTTATCTAATCAAGAAACCTCACCTGTAAAATACGTTTATTCTCACCCCCCAATAACTGCACATTAGTGACGATACTAGTATTTTAAGCTAAGCTCCTATGAGCTGTACCCATTTTTTCCCATGCAATATTACACAATACGAATATTGGGTTGTGTCCGAGAATTCTGATATACTAGATAGAAGCTTTATGGAATTTAGAAGCGAATTTCTCAATCCAAATTACGTACAAGGAGGTAACAGTATATTTTTAAAAAGTAATTCTTTTTATGGACCGCTTATAACTACTGAATTCGTCTGAGCCAGGGTCGACAATAAGGTTTAATAACATCCAGTAACTAGTATTTATTTTGGAACAAAGAACAGATACCAATCAAGTCTAGTCTGAAACTTGCAGATTAAAAAATGTAACTAAACGAGTTAGCCAACCGGATGTTAATTTGTAGGGAAAAAAGAAGATGTCTTTTGAAAACTTTTATACGCAACTGAATTAAATACGCTGGCTAATCTGAGATCCGAAAAGTCGTGGTTTATAACCTCCGACAAATTAGAAAATAGTGTTAATGAAATATATGCTATCTTATGCGCATAGTGTTACAAATCAAATATTAGCGATTCGTGATAATGTTACACTCGTAATTGTCATTGGCTTCACGGAAATGAAACCCCGATCTGGTATGCCCATCTCAATTTGGCATGGTGAGAATTTCAGGTTTCTATAAAATTGAGGGCTTTTTGACTGTCCACATGCCCACATATATCGCCAATTCATCGCCAATTCTATGGAGAAGTCCAATTTAAAAGTAGTTCGCCCACTCGGTAACCTAGAAAGACTATTTGTCATCAGACAGAGTATAGGTTATTACACAAACATTTGCTCCGCCGTCCGTTATCAATGTGAAGATCTTTTCGCGCTTGCTTCCATCGATAGAATAACTGAATTAAATGACAACATAAAAAATCAACTGCGCCCAGTCGTTTATGGTATACTCACAGAACTTCTTCTCAAAGAACCAGCATTGTCAAATGGCATAAGAGGTCCAATGACTACACGACCGCTCTATGTTCACATTCCAACAATTGATTTATCTCAACTAGTACGTTTTGACGTCATATGTTCGGATAAGCAACTAGAAAAAGTGTTGGAAGATGAACACAAAATACCATTGGATCATTCGACCGAGACCAATCTCTTGTGGCGAATGGTTTTTGGGGTAAACATTGAACGTGCGCACGAAATATGCGTTATATTCTGTTGGCATCATAGTATGGCAGACGGAATGAGTGCACATATTTTACAATCATTATTTTACAATGCGCTGAGAAAAATAATGGACAAAAAAAGTGATTTATCAAGTATTTCTCCAATGGTTAATGTTCCCTATGCTCCAATGTTCAGGCCATTGGAAGAGACCGTAGATATTAAACCGTCACTTGGATTAGTTTTGAAAGAAGTAATTAATGAATTTGTGCTGCCTTCATTCATGAAACCAACACCAAAGCATTACGTTGGAGATGTTCACGCTATGGAAATTAATAATTTCTATACTGTATTAAAAATTGTATCGATCAGTCCAGATGAATTCAAGTCTTTAATATCATTGTCGAAACAGCAAAAGACGACGCTTCATGCAATTGTTCATACTGCTCTTATGCTGTCAGCTCATCGCCATCTTGTCAATTCAGGCAAAGATGAGGCCAAAGAGATATCGACAGATACGCCAGTATCCCTTAGACCATATGGCATTTTACCAGAAACTGAACCGACCATGGGTGTATATGTCACTAAATTCCACTTTGCGGCTTCAACAAAAGATATTGACATGGGATTTTGGAATCTTGCAAAAAAATACAAATCTGAACTGATGAAAAACATGAAGACATCGATCCAGTACGTGGGACTATTAAAATTCTTATCCAGCGACACTGACGGATGGGAGGAATATTTGGCAAATAAAAGGAGAACAGGCCCCATGGGGAGGATAGCGTCCTTGGATGTATCCAATATCAAAGTATGGAAACCAACTGAAAATGAAGATAAAAGAATAAAAATACTGGATTTTATATTTTCACAGTCAGCAAATGTAAGTATATAAATCTAATCCGCATTTATTGATGTTGATGTTATCAATTATTAACGCGTCAGTTTGTTTAGGTTACTGGACCCGTGGTTATAGTTAATTTAGTAACTTATGGTGACAGACTTAATTGCACCGTTACATATCAAGAAGGTGCCATTGAACCAAAAGAAAAGCTTGACAAATTTATTGATGGATTTAAATGGGTATTGGCAACAATAGCAAAGGACGGTGATTGGAAAGGAGAATGGAAGGAATAGTATAGAGTAATTGAATGACACTTCAAGCACGTCATGTGACGATGGCTTTATTTCTTTTAACCTAAGATGTTAGATAAATTACAAATTATAAATACAAATTTTTGGTGGGAAAGCGAAACAAACTTAAGCAAAGTCCGGAAACTACCCAAACCATGTTTATTTTATATAATAATAAAAAGCGACTGGACCAATTAAATTAGATAGTTTATATTTGATATCAATAATACTAAAACAACCCGACAATTTAAAGGCAACTGTTGTTTTACTTAAAGTAAGAGATCTCTTTAATCAACGCGTACTCTCACAGTTATTGTGGTTAGGCTGATTTGTTCTTAGCTTAAAACTTTGCTAAATCTTAGAGTCTAGTTTCCTACCCACTAATTCAGGAATGTTGTTGCTTTCTCGACAACGCCTATCACGCCCAGTTCACCTTGTATTACGCAATAATAATTAATATTCTACTGTATGTCTAGGAATTGCTTGCTCACATACTCCAATCAAAACACGGTACAGTACGTCTGTCTTTGTGAAGAAATTATTAATTAATGATATATATCAAATATACATAATGTCATTGCTACACGTTTATAATCGCATCAACATGAACAACTATTTTTAATGTACACTCTGCTGGTTACAGGGATTTAAAAATTGGTATAGAATTCAAAACTTTTAACGCAAAATACGTGTATAATAACAATAAATGTACACTGTCAGATAAACTTGACAGTTTCAAACCAGTATCTGCCGATTACAATTGTTTCGTATAATTATTATCTAATTTATCTAATTCATTTATTTGATAATTCTGTACTAACTTAACTATGATCGCTTATGAGAAAAGCGATCTGACGGATTGAACCAATGAAGTGACTAATTATTAGAACTCAAGTTCATGATCAACCGTAATATCAATTGATCGACAAGAATGCACTTTAATCACGTGCAGAACGGTCAAATCACATTGTTGTATCTACATAAGGCAACTATGCAAAGAAACAAAAGAAAATACAACCGTAATATTCTCAAATTTTTTAATATCCTTCTCACTCTCTCAAACAGGATCATGTTTTGTGCCAGTATGTAAAGTTTATTAGTATTTTACTGCTCTGGGAGTAACGAATCTCACGATCTTGTCACTAATAGGATAACCACCTCAATAACAGTTTCTGGAGAAGCTCTGCAGGAGCCCGTTGCGTCTAGAAAATCAGGACATATTTACGAGAAACGTTTGATTTTGAAGTACATTGCTGACAATGGAAGAGATCCAATAACGGGAGAGGATATTGCAGAAGAAGATTTACTGGATATTAAGACTAGTATGTAAGAGCGATAGACTGAGATGTCTACACGAAACACGAAGCGTTACGTCATGATAAATTAAAACTTGAAATACGTGTCGAGTAAATAAGACGATTAATGAAGAGAGCAATAACACAGTATCACCAAGCATTCAAGAGGTAGAACTCTTGTACGAGGAAAATGATTTTATACTAACCAAATCTTTCTCTTAACAGGTCCAAAAATTATAAAACCACGTCCACCACAATTGTCATCAATCCCATCTATGATCTCGGCCCTTCAGAATGAATGGGACAGTCTAATGTTAGAAACATTTACCCTCAAGCAACAGTATCAAGAAGTACGACAAGAACTCAGCCATGCTCTTTATCAACACGACGCTGCCTGTAGAGTTATTGCAAGACTGATAAAAGAAAGAGATGCGGCCAGAGAGTAAGCGCTCGTGATCTTAAATTTTGTGTATGGCTTTAATTGTTAGTTGAAATATATACTCATACGTTAGCATTTGGATCACAGTGCGTTGGCCAAAGTCCAAGCACATATAGGCGCATCTGTTTCGCAAGAAGACACCCAAGAAAATCAGAGCGTGGATGTCGAAATGCTAGATAGGCGCATCGACAGTGGTATCATCGAGAAGATGTCAGAACTAAATGCAGTGTAAGTGTTCGCTGTGCTTGCAGTTACCTCATTTATATCAAAAAGTAATGCCGACTAATCTGAAGTTTATATAATCTTCATCAACATTTCCACATTATCTCTGTCATTTGTATAAACTTGCCGTGATCAGTCTATCAAAGGGACGCAAGAAACGAAAAACACCACCAAATTTCACGTCGATAGACGCTGTCAAATCATACAAATGGACCTCTGGGGTCGCACCTATGCACGTGTCAAACGCTTCTGGAATAACTTCTCTTGATATTAGCCCGAACGGACACTTCGTTTTGACTGGAGGTGTCGATAATACTGCCATAATCTATAATAGTGATAAAGAGAGAATCGACTCTGTGTTAAAAGGGCATACTCAGGAAGTGACGGACGTGTTGTGGCGTGGCAAAGCAGATCCTGGACACCCAGATATCGCATTTACTGCCAGTGCGGACAATAACGTGAAGATATGGCAACCTTCGGACGGCGGTACAGTTGATATTTATATCGTATGCTTACAAGTATAAATGAACCGTATCTAAATTTACTTTATTTCGGGCATTCATAGGTTATTTTGCAACTTCCAAGATTAAAGCCCATTCAGCCAGAGTTACGGGAATTGCATTAAATCCTACTCTTGACTATTTGGTCTCTGTATCATCCGATTCAGCTTGGGCATTCCATGACATAGAGACCGGAAAGACGCTTTGTCGTATCGAAAGCAATGAAGTACAAAATGGTGAGCTTTCACTACAATTACGTTGTATGGCAAAAGCTATGCTATCTAATTATATGCATTATATCTTTATTGTATTCTGATCGTTATATTTTAATGTGATGCAATTAAAAGGTTATACTGCAGCAAAGTTCCATCCAGACGCTTTACTGCTTGGTACAGGGACGAATGATTCCATGGTACACATCTGGGATATGAAATCTCAGAATATTGTTGCACCGTTTCCAGGGCATACTGGCGCTGTGACTGCGCTTGCATTCTCTGAGAACGGATACTACTTGGCAACAACATCCGAAGATAATTTGGTTAGATTATGGGATCTTCGAAAATTGACAAACTTTAAAGTGCTGACTTTACCAAAGAATAACCAGCTTAACAAAGTTGTATGGGATCATGCTGGACAGTATTTGGCCGTTGGCGGGACTGATGTGAGGTATGTTTGGTTACATTGTATATTGTACATTGAGCAAGAATGTATTTTTACGAGTATTCACACTATTTCTATTTTACGTAAACAGAGTATTCCATTCCAAGACTTGGGAAGAACTCGTAGTTCTTACCGATAACACTGCAGAGGTGACTGATCTGAAATTTGGTGAATTGGCAAAGTATCTTGCAGTTGTTGGACTGGATGGATCTCTAAGATATTACAGCCCAGAAAGCGGGGAATAATTGCGAGTGTAAATAGATCGAATAATAGCCTTTTTAGACGTTTAGTTGACAAAAAAAGGGGGATTAAAAAAGGGTTATCATTATCAAGACATAACGTCCGAAGTGTGGCTATACGATAGTAAATAAAAGCTTTCTTAGACGTTTTAGCTGGAAAAGAAAGGGGGTTCAAAAAGGGAATCAAAAACTATTGTTTGAATTGCTGTTGAGTGACGGTAAATATGGTTATAATTACCAACTCGAGGCTAGTTGATCATTAATATAATTTGAGTCCATAATGCTCTTCCAAATAATCGAGCACTGCAGGTGTATTTGCGAGAGTATTGAAGGCCTTACTCTCGGCATTACTCATTACGTTCTCTAGCATATAAATCCTAGACAAATAGACGAAGGATTAGTCTGTGCAACTCAGCGCATCTCAAAGCGCTCATCACGGATACTTACAAGTGGTGATGAAATATAAAGAAATTGTTCCCATAATCCAGAGATAGCCTCATAAACTTCTCAACGCACTCCCACGGAGTCCTATTATATCCAGAAAACAATGCAGGATTTTCCAATATTCCTCTTGCTGACATTACTCCGTCCACACCTGTATAGGACTGAATTTTCTGTGCATCTTCCATACTAAACACATCCCCGTTGGCGATAACGGGGATAGAGACATTTTCTTTTACTAGTTTGATCGCATCAAGATTGACTGCTTCACTCGAACGCTGACGACGTGTGCGGCCATGGACTGCGATAAAATCTAAACCGGTCGATTCAACTTGTTGGACAAATGAGACTGTTTCCCTGGTATCGTAAGAATGTAAATAATTAACCTCAACGTCTGATTCGGTGACACGGTTTTACGATAGTCTTATTTGCACCTACCTTAAATCAGCATGCACACGTATCTTAATTGAACAAGTGACTTCAGTCCCAACTCTAGATTTCACAGCTCTAACCATGTCTCTAACGAACTCTGGCTTTTCCATCAGACGTGCTCCGATTCCTTCATGGATTGCCCATTTTTGCGGACATCCACAATTTATGTCTATACAGTCACTCAAATATCCCGCCCTCAGTTAGAAAGGGGACCATTGATAAAGCCGCATCTCTCACTCTTGCTCTTACCAATCCCACTAACATATTTGGCGACCAACTCGGCAGCATCAGAGAGTTCTTTCGAGTTCTTGGCAGCAAATTGTATAATAAGCGGTTTATCTTTTATATTGGTAGTGAATTCACTGTCACGCGCATACTTTGATGCTGCAAAATCAGCCGATAGTATCATGGGAGTATAGCAAAGGTCGACATTGTAACTGATAAGGAACGATGAGTGAGTTAATGGGAAAATAATATAAACGGTTGAAAAGAAAAAGGGGCGCAATCTGCTTCATAAAAATTTTTAATATTTTTTCTACATAGTTATCTCTAACATACCCTCTCACCAGTTCTCTAAAGGGCAGCTTGCTGTATCTTACCATAGGCGCACATATATTTACACAACGCTTGCTTTCGAATAGTGTCAATGGAGACACCTTCTGACCAAATTCTTCAAACATAATTTTTTAAAGTCATTATCGGCGTAGTTGAGTGTCATAAAAATAAAAAGATCTGCGCCAGAAATTGTCACGTTATTTTGTTACTATTACGTCCGTCTCAACATTAAACGTGCGAGAGTTATCAAATGATTAATCGATGTATACATAATTGGTCTTCTTTTTTTTTTCGCGGCTACAAGCAATCTATCAAAACTACTCAAAGCTTTAAAGGTTCGAAATCCACAACCACACCGATTCGTCCCTCATCTAATCCTGTTGTTCTTCCTTGTAATTCGTCTCTTGTTCATCAGACATTCTATTATGCTCATACATCTTGTCTTCCAACTCTTTACTCGCAGCCTTAGATCCAGCTCCTGCTTCATTCCCTCCACCTCGACAGAATAACTTCAACCGAAATGCATCTACTCCGTTTAAATAGTATCTATATAGTCTTTTATCACGTAAAAAACCCAGGTTTTGGTACAATGATAGCGCGCCGACGTTAGTGCGTTCTGTTTCCAGAACTATCTGTAGGTGAATGCATGTGAAGGCGAACGATCGTATAAAATATTAAAAATCATTGAGCTACTGAGACTGTATACCAAGACGTATATATCTGTTTACCTCATCAGCATTTAGACTCTTCATGGCATTGATAGCCATCTTGACTAACGACGTTCCTATTGACAGCATTAACGTGCGGTTAAAGTGAATCGATACAAAATGTCGTTAACCAATAAATATATGTGTCAATATCTTGTTCTGAATGATCCATTCTGTTCGTCTTTACCAATCTTCATCTTCCTGTATTCTTTTTTCACTGCTAACATTGCAATATACCCTCTGTATGCGTCTCGATGACGATCCAGCTTACAGATGATAACTCCAACGCAAACATCACTCTCGGAACTAGTTTTATCTAAGGCCTTGGGATGAATTGAAAGATAAAACAAGAGAATGACGTGATCAAGGATGAACACTGGCGACTATGTGTTGACTGTGCTAATGTTACATTGAGGCAATGCTGTTCTATACTTTTTCATAAGAATGTTTGTATTGGTATCCACGAATGCTTTTCTCAAATAATAATAAGTCCTGTAATACTACTCCGTTTAATACTCCAGCCGCCTACTTACCATGAAACATAGATTGGGCCAATTATTGATAAAGTATCGATAAGTATATATTGAATAAGGTTCAGAGAGATCCTTTTCTATCAAGGTCATGATTCCTGGGAGTTGTAATTCAGACGAATATGGAACGTATACTATTTGATCAGGACTTGGAGGCGCCATCAGACAGTGCAAACAAAATAAAACTAAAATTAAGTTTCCCGAGTTAAAAGTGAATATGATGACGTCATGGAATCGTGCCGTCACCCCGTTTTTGGATGACGGACATAAGATTTCAAAATATGAAGAAGCGAAAAACTTATATCCACAATTTATATAACTTTGTAATAATGTTGGTTTATTCAAGGGTAACCTTGATTATTAGTAATTCAGTTTTAAAGTGGTTTAATGCTTGACAAGGTACATAATAGTATTGTTACAATTCGGATTAGTGATGCTACAATCCTGTATGGCTGCGACCTCAAACTCGTGGAATATGAAAAATACGAGGACTTTCGTCACAAAGTGAATATTTAAACTATCATTTCTTATAAGCAGAGCGTTAGCCATATTAAACGAATTATGTCATTGCTCTCATTGTATTGGTACCGAAGTATGCTTTCCTTTTAAAATTTCTATTGGAATTTACGTTCTTAGCTTTGCGATCGTGCTTCGTTATGAAGGTCATGACGTCAAAACAAAAGATTGACATAATTATGATTACAATTTTGCATTTTTAGGATAGAAGCAAATATATACTGTATCTAAGGCATACGACCGGATATGTGTATGCAGACCGAGTAGAAATTTGTACATGTGGGATAAATATTTGCATAAGGTATTTTAATTTATACTTGTCGTGTTAGCTGCCAGAAACCACTCTATCTCCTTATGATTGCTGATCAGGTGTTAGATTCAATCAGAAGTTGCGCATAAAGTTTATTATAAACTGTTCTGGGAGTTTTGATAGAGATTTTTATATTTATAGAACAATACAATAAATAATATAATTCCCTTACACTGAAACGCGCAACGAAAAAGTTTTATCCATTTTGTCCATTCTTCATTGACATAATAGTAAATTTAGGGGGCTGTTTGTTATTGCGTCATTGAGTTTACCGATAAGGGACCATACTAACCAAAACTATTGGCTGTCTGTTCATACTTTCCGCTTTCCTTATCCTATCATTAATACCTATACCCTACAATCGACGATAGATATTAACTGATGCAATGTGTCCTGACTGATATATACTATGTTAAATAATCAGAACGGCAGAGGGCAAATAACACGCGATTACGTCTAGGACGACTAAAAAACGCTGTCGACGTTTCGTAAGTAATACGCCTTGCTTGGATTGATTGATTGATGTTGCTTGCTTCCTCATGTTATCACTCTTCAAGTCTTCGTGCATAATTACAAGTTTCTTATTTATTCATAAAATGAGTTTGCATCATTAGTAACTTTGTGACCACTGTGCATTCAAGCGATAGTTATTATTTTCGACAGACATAAAAAGAAAAAGAACATAAGCATACAACTTCCGATGAATTTACCGAGAAGAAAATGCACAGACAATTACAATAATGTGAGAAATATACAGAGAGTATTGACAATAACCACTCAAGGAAATAATAAATTATTACATTATCCATATCATACATCTGGACTGATGCCAAGCATTGCATCAACCGTTTGCAAAAAAGTGAGAGCCGCATAGTTGCATTGAATAATACAATTTAACAATTTACTGTTGTATATGTAATGTAAAGTCTTATCGAAAAGATCGATTTTTTATGAGATTATAAAAGTCAAATACTGAAAGAAAAAAAGTACAAGTTATTGAAAAGGAGTATAGTAGAAGTAGTCGTCGTAGTAGTAATACTAGTAAAAATGACTTTGATGATGCTATTATTATAATGTTCAAATTGAGTTGTACTAAAAACTTATTAAACCAAACTACATATTACCACCAATGCCTATACATATCTTATTTACAATATTCTCATGATCCAATAGTCAATAATTTTTAATATGCTGGTGTTTTGTCCAGTATGCATATATATTCCGAATTGCTTCTCCTCATATCATCCCTAGCTACAAATAACCTTTGACGTGGTGTGCTCTATTACCCAGGTCTCGTTGCCGAATCCACCAAGATGCTCCCAAAGTATAACTCTCGCGGGATCAGGATATTTGCCATTACCAGGTACGCTCCAATTGAGATTCCATGCAACTATGGGTCTTACTAGCATTCGACTGTCTGCAATAGTCTGTAATTTCCATACAAATTCAGGATTTCGTGAATCTGTTTCCTCGTTATATGGTGCAAGTGTGATATTTATTCCCATTCGAGAACAGTCGCTTGATTTTATGGCATGCTGAGGATGGCTCATGTTAAATATGCGATATGAACCCACCCATGCAATGGGGAATAGGATAGGTTTGAGTATCCACACTTCGGGGTGATCGTGTGGGTGTTGACGAGGAGGTGAGGACGTGACAATGATATTGTTTTCGGCCGATGCTGTAAGATATGCTTTTGATGGGTAAGCGGTGCTGAGGAAGCGTACGTGCTCGACTGTGGAATACATGTCAGTATCGACACGGTAGAGTGCGGAGTGTAAAGTTTTGAGAGGACGGAGTGTGTTGGAGAGGACTGCGGGAAGAGACAATAATATAATATTGCAAAAGACGAGAGACAAACCAAAAAATGGTAAAGTGGGAATGGTTAAATAGTGGATGGCTTTATTAGTAAGTCTGGATCTGGAAAATATTTGTCGTAACGGGGGTGGCAGCATATATGTAAGTGTATTTTCACCGACTCGTAAGATGATGATGATTGTTTTGGCCAAATATGTAAGTAATATTTTTAGGCATGAAGTGTTAGGCAAATTAAATATAAAAAATAATAATTGAATTGTTTGTAATTGTGAACGGGTGTTTTTATTTGTATCATTAATAAGCCCAAATATATTTAGTTACAACAAATGTCAACTTGTTGATTGTAGGTATGAAGGAAACACAAGATTAAATTAACACAATGTGAGTGCACTTTGACACTGTAGATGTTGCATTTACATTTGCATATGAGACAGATTGGCGAGCGGTGAAGAGAATATGAACAAGGCTAGAGTTCAAGGAACACGGTTGCTAGGAGATTGTGAAAATATAATTATAACTGTCATAACTGATATTTAAAATTGTAAATATTACAATATTAATATAGTATTATTTTATATTAAATGTATATTAGCATTACGGATATTTTAAGTTAAGGCTGCGGACGTTTAGTGTTGACTTTGGGGTTGATTGTTACCATGTATGGCATGTGGCAGATGGCAGCATTGTCTCGATGGGTCTAGACTTGGGAAAAGGAGAATCTGGATGATCTGGATGCATGCGAGACCACGTACCTTCTGAACTGTAGGGGACACAACTACGAGAATCTCACCCGACGTAACACCACAAACCAGAAAAGGAAGTCTCCCCGTTCGATACAAAAACTCCGAGAATGCATATTAATATCCAATATATTATATTATATCATTATACCGTACATAACCGTCATGGCTCATGCATTCAACTCTAACAATAGACAACAGATCTACGCCCCTGGCACATTTAAAATCAAATT